CCTCGCATGCCTGCTGCAGCTGTGTCCCATCCTCAGAGCTCCTTTTGATTTCATGCTTTCCCTCAATGGGTGAACAGTGCTACGTTTTTCATAGAAACCTTAATTTTCAGATGTAAAACCTTAATTTTACTAATAATTCCACACCATGCAACAAGTGAAGGGTTCGGGTGTAGTCAGTTTAATGTGGCAAAGTACTAGGTTTTCAAGGAATTACCGTAAGTGTTTGGCTTGGATGCGGCCTCTTCAACTTCCTCAGTTGAGGAAACAGTATTTCCTGTCTTGTCTTTAGTGTTATCTGCAACATTTACTTTTCAAATCTGAAAACTGGCTGTCAAGACAGTAGTTTGGGATTTGAGAATTACTTCTCCCCACCGCAGTTATGGGAAATTCCTCCACTTATTAGTTGCAATATTAGCCGCTTTGAGCGGATATGGTAGTAGCTTGCTTTAAATGGTATGAAGAGCTGCAGAGTACATCTGGCCAAAATTAACTTTGTGGATAGTTCCTGTTAATTTGCATCTTCAGAAAAGAAGCTCGGATCAGGTCGAAGTGTGACCGCACAAACATTTGTGCCATTCCAAGTTAGGGAGGAGGTAAGCAGGCAAGGAGAGAAAGGGATTTGGGGTCCGCAGGTCTGTATGCACCGATGAGCAGTGGCGTCAGGGTTATGCTGACCAGGCATGTAGAACTGACTTCACTGGTTGTGGCAAAACCCCTGATTTACATTCAGAATTATTTAAAATGCATATGAGGCAGAAAATTGTGCAGATGTATTCATAACTGCTAGCCTCAGTAGACTTTTCTGTATCTTATACTTTACGTTAGCTCTTCATATACTGACAATTAGTAGGTAATTATGGAAGTTCGTTGAGAAATTGGAAATCTAGAAGGATGCGACTTTCTCTGCTGTTTCTTTTGGGGTTTGGCCTTATGCAAAAGCATAGTTTTTCTGGTTTGCTTTTTTGTTCGGTTTGACAGGTCCTTCTTGAGAACTGAAGATACTACAGGCTTTTCCAAAACTGTTTCATAAGCATGACTGAATGATACACCTTTCTCTTGTAGGTCAGAAGCCAGTTTTAACAGATGTTCAGGCAGAATTGGACAGAATTTCACGGAAACCTGAAATGGTCTCTCCTACAACACCTACATCTCCCACAGAAGGTGAAGCATCTTGAAGACACCAAATAAAACCAATTGTTCAGTTTTCTGGGATAATTCAAACTTGCCTCTGCCTCTTCCTTCAGTGACTGGAACTAAAGAACTGAAATATCTTTCAGAACACAAACGGTTGATGTCTGTCTTTCTTTCATATGGGTTGCCCAACTTCACAAAAGGGAACTGTACAGATAGAAAACGGTTGTCACATCATGTAGGAGCACTGTTCACAGTGCAAGAATAGTAAATTAATTTTTTTCTGGGTTTTGTTGAAAAGTCAGTGTAATTCTGTAAAATTGCAAGTATGTCCACTTAAGTGATAGGGGTTGCTTAGAGCAGGAAAACTTACACACACCACAGGCACTTAATTTATATTGATTTCCCAACCTGTTAGGCAAGTTTAATACCACCTTAAATAGTTTAACCTCTACAGGAGAGAGCTACTAGTAGTTTTTGGAAGAGAGAATTAATTGCACAACACCATAACAACAACAAACAACTCCAGTTATACTTGAACGCTTCATTTGGAGTATGGTTAAAAAAATACGTTTAATCTCCTTTGAGATTACACTGCGTTCAAAAACCCATGCAAAAATTCATTCCAGATACAAGACTAAAATAATGGCCAGAGGGGTTTTTTTAGTTTTTTCTCTACAATTAAATTCAGACACTGAATAAAAGATGTATAAAGAAAAAGCAGAGGTTAAATGTACAGATTATCAGTATCCAGATTTGTCTATATATATATGGCTCAGCCTTAATGTCCCCCACTGTTTCCCACATTAGTTATGGTTTAAAATTGGTCATCAAAACTGTAATCAGTAATAAAGTATTCTCTGCATTCAAATCTAAATAACTTTCATTGAAGCCATGGTGGTTTTGTTTGTTTACAGTTAAGTCTAAAGATGTGGTGTAAAATGTCTTAAAACATGCTTCAGTATTTTACCTCTCAGTGAAAAATATCGCTGGTAGATAGTTAAGCTTCCATAAAGCATTGTTTCTGGAAAGAAGTGGAGAAATCTGCAGCGTTTGTTCTTAGGAGTCATACTAGCTTATCTGACGTGGGTGGTTCCTGCCATAATGTGTTCTAAAAGCACAGTAGTTATACTAAGGGTGTATTGTCTGAGCAGCTGGTGGCCGAAGTTAGGGCTTTAAGCTTTCAGTACACAAATGTTGAGCATCACTTCACTGTTCTGTTTCAAGTCTGTGGTTGCTTTCTACCGCTAGCCACAGAATAGTAAGCATAAAAAGTACATCCTGATCAAATGATTGCCAAGAGCCTGCTTTAATAAGTTCACGTTTTTACGATTTTTTTAATCAACAAGTCATATGTTAATTTCTCTGAGTGTTTAGAAAACTTCTGAAACACTGAAGAAGAGGGGTTAAGTCTTTATTTTGAACATGGTGGTACTCTGCTCCTCCAACTGCTGCATTCTGTAGTGGTTCTAGTGAATTGCCTCCATATTTTCAAAATACCTAAATTTACTTAAGAAAAACATGTAGAACTCCCTAGAGTTAACATACTTGTTAAAATTGACTCAGAATACTGAATTGTGGACTGACAAGTTTCAGTAGACATTCTTAACTATGGATCAACTGTTCAGACTGGAGTCCTGAAAATTTCCCTTACAGCAGTGATTCAGTAAAACTGGCATGCAGAGAAATGCACTACCCTGTAATGAACAACTGCACAGAATAAATTATGTCTTGAAGAAAACAAAATTAAGTTGCCAATCCTGGATGCGTGGGATGCATCAGTATCAGAACACTCTTCTAGGCTCCCTATGTAAACTTCTTGAAACAGAATCTGACGTGCTTGAGTGAATGGGTCCTGCTTGTATCGGCACCAGTACCCTTCCTTGTACAACTGCAAGGGGTGTGTGCTGGTAGGGCAGAACTTCAGATTTTAGGGCAGCATCTTAAACTGTCCGGGTTTCTGAAAGAAAGCTTTAGCTCCTGCAATCTTTAATTCAGTTCATTTGAGCATCTGTCAACGCACAACACCCTTTCGGACCTGCTGGAGAGCAGCTCTGTGGAGAGGGACCTGGGTGTCCTGGTGGACGACAGGTTGACCATGAGCCAGCAGTGTGCCCTGGCTGCCA